GCGTCTCGGAGAACCGCTGCCCGCTCGGCTGGGTCGCAGTACATCTTCCCTTCGTGGTTCAGCAAAGGGGGAGTACTTGCTTGCCTTGGCTCGGCCGACCGCATCAGCTTGAAAACATCAGTTGGTGTCGTGATCGCTTCGACTTGACGCGTCTGGTACTCTTTCCTTGCTGCTCTGAGGGTTGAGCGCAGCTTCTTTGAATGTATCCATCGCTGTTTCGGAGTCATTGCTACACGATATTCAGTGTGAGCTAGCTTGCATTCTGGAGTCCACCAAGGCGCACATTTGCCGTGTCTTTTGTTCCTTCGTTTTCCTGTTGCTTTGATAGCGTTAGTAAGGCCGGAACAGAGATCTTTGGCGTATTCGTTCGCCTTGCAAACCGAGTCCAGGGCTGTTGGCGGGTGTGTAAACTGCTTTACAGCAAGGGTGAATCTCGGCAAATTGCTACGCGTTACCCTGATTTGTGAAGGCTCCTGGTCCTTTTTCCGGATCCGGTGGGGACTCGTCCTCGAATCGGAAGATGGTCGCTGGTTACGCACTCATTACGATCCACCCATGCTTGAGCTCCGTTGATGTTGGTCCAAGCAAGATCGAGCGTTTTCCCGGCTCGATGCGTCGGCTCACCCACAATCAGACAGGTGAGATTGTGACGTTCCGCCCATCTCACAATTTCAATTCCTTGTTCGCGTGGGCGGGTAACCTCTGGTTGCCACGCGCAGTATACCGCGTTGAAGTCACCAGCTGCGACGGATCGTGGTGGTGGGTCCCAGTTGAGGAGATGTCTAATCGCCGTTGGGTTGTTTGGGTCTTTATACACGTTGAGAAACGTGACACCGTTTACCACAACCCAACAGTAGTCTGCCGTCGGGGGATCACAAGGAAAGATTTGAGTTGCCGAGTAGATTCTACTGTTTATTAGCGTATAAGTCACTGCCCTGGGTCGAACGTTTACGCTGCCATGTGGTGTATGGCAATCGTAACCAGGGTGTGACTTTGTCTCCCTTGTGGCTTTTTTCCACAAAGGCTCTTGTATTAGCACCACATCCATGCCTAGCTCATAAGCTCAGGAAAGCGCGATGTCGTGTGATTGACCTCCCCTACCCACGTTGATCGACATAAAACTTATCGTAGGTGGAAGGCTAGAAGGGACCCGTGAGGGGCCCTTCAGGAGGACTCAACAGGATTCGTCGTTCCTGTGGCCGTGGCGTCGGGAGTGACGTCGGTCATCATAACTTCGAACCTGTTGTTTGGTTTCACTGCTCCAGGTGCGGCTTCCGTCTGCTTGGCGGCCGCTTGAACTGTTGCCTCAGCGCGACGGACAGCGGCTTTTGCCCTCACTACTGCCGCTAGCTCGCGTTGACTAGCCATGCGGATGGTGGCCAGTTGCTCTCTGCTTACCGGCCCGGACTTGGTGGAGCGCGCCAGGCAAGCTCGACTGTCGGACCTATGCGGTCCTCCGCAGTTGCGGCGCTTGGTATGCGCATGACACTCGTCCGTCAAGTGCATCGTGGAGGTGCAGTTCCAGCAAGCTGAGGAGGGGAGCAACCACGCGTTCCGTGGGGCTGCAGGCAGCGTTTGCATTGCTGCACAGTCTGTCGCGGTTGATGTCGTACCGCGACGCCCGAGTCGTCGAACAGGCGGAATCCTAGTCTTGGTTCCGCTCCCCTCTTGAAATGAGCGAGCCATGACTGGTATAGCGTGCCGGGGTGATTTTTCCCGTGAGGCCGAACTTTGACTGGAACGGCCTTTGTAACCCTGGTGATCTCCTCGATCACCATCTCTTCTGTCACTGGCACCCTTCCAAGAAGAGTGTGGATGGCAACGGGGACCGTCGAGATCCAGAGCGCCACGAGGTCGGAGGCCTCTTCCAGTTTTCCTTCGATAGGGAGGAAAGATTCCGCCGCGTTCAGTAGGAACTGGCGAGATTCCTGATTCTTCGATCGAAGTGCGAAACTAGTTGGGACTCGGTAGACATGTTCAATGTCTACTTTTGGCGCGTTGGTGAGCTGCGCCACAGCATCTCTGATACCAGCTGGAGACATCTTTCGCCACTGATGCTTTGAATTCAGCCGGAGGAACAGTCGGTTGTCCGGCGTGGACGAAGGGACCGTCTTGTCCGATTTCTTGGTCGGCGGGGTCAGCTTTTGTGGAGCACGGCTTACCATCACTGGCGCCGGCTGATTGGGTAGTCATCTCCCGGCTACAGTTGTCCAGGTTGAAGTTACCTTGGGCACTGCGACGGTAGGCTTTGCTGGCCTGGCTGTTGAAATTGGAGGAGGCCCGCTACTGCTGGCCTGCTGGCCGACGGGGCGGGGGGAGGCTTGTCGGCACTGGTGTAGTTCCAGTGCGTAGGAAGTGGGCGAGAGCGCCCCTTAGACATGCGTTCATCTCGTCCAAGTATTCCTTATTATCCGTCGTTTTTAGTGACAGTATAACGCTTTCCAATGTATTTATGATTGTTGAACCCATCTCGAGTCTGGTAGAGGCATTTGCAGCCCGCTTTCTTTCGTCTTCCAACAAAGCTTCAATTTCTGGCAGGTATTCTTGTGCCACACTGGTGGAAGCACCACCAGCAGGTTGGTTATCGCGCACAGTCACCCCGGGAATCGAGGCCGGGGCTGGCTGAGGTCTTGAGGCGTTTGCTGCCTTTGCGTTATGGGGTCTTCCGTTCCTCTCGGTGTGCTCGCGGTTGGTGTCCGCTTTGCCATCGGAACCGCGATTTTTCGTGCCGCAACGCGTGCGGATTCTGGCATTGCTTTCGCCGAGACTACTTTCTCGACGGCAATAGTTGGTGCTGTTGACGCCTTCTGGGAGCTCTCTGCTCCTGTAGTTGCCCAACGCGAGTCCTTTAGGCCCTTTCGGATCCAAGCATCAATTATGGGAGTGGCATTCTCCATCTCAATGTCGGTTTTGCCGCTTTCTTCCATCTGCGCGATTATGTCGGCTTCCATCCCTTTGAGATCGATGTCGTTCTGCATCAGTACCTTTGTTGTCGCTTTTTGCATTGCAATGCTTTTTGCTTTGTTCAGCATTTGCTTTTGTGATTCCAGACGCGTCTGGTGGTTGTGCTTTAATACTTTAGTGGTTAACACAATTTTCGCGGGTTTCGCGGATTTTGGGGTACCGGTGCCATTTCCAGGCTGAGTGGCGCGGTACGACGAGAAATTGATGTTTCGAAGTTCGGAGGGTGATTTAAGGGGAGGAAAAAGGGAAAAAGGGAATTTCCGAACATATCGAATTGTGCGTTTGTATGTTTGTTCATTAACGTGCTAGGTGAAGTAACTACCGTCGCACTCCTACTGGAGCTTGAGCACGAGTGGGGTCGGGCCGGATCAGGTTAACTACCGTCAAGTACAAGTACCTCGTCCCACCTCAATGACCGGAACCATGCCGAAACGCATCTATGTGTTGAAGCATGACGAGTACAGCAGCCCAGAGTTGAAAACAAAACAAAAGAAAACTTCCACGCAAAGTCCTGCATTACAAAAGAAAAAACTTTGACAATCTCCCTTCCATCGTTCCGCTTCGGCCACCACGCGCCCGAGCCTCGATTCCTATCCCTACTTCCATGCCAGATCACCTAGGCTTTCGTTCATCACCTCCGAGTCACGGGTATCCCTGCCATCCCCCGGCTAGCCTCCGCGTATATTCCGCTCTCCTGGACATAGTCCCTGAACAGTTGCCACCCGCTTGATCCGAGCATTGTTTCTATAGCTGGCGCCCTTCGCCTTCCGCTTTTCAGCCGCCATGTTGCCAGTGCTTTTCGACACTGAACAAGGTGACCGATTGATTTTTCTCTCCCACACTTGCAGTGAAGTGTAGCATCAGTGTAGTTGAAGCGGCGATGATAAGCCGCGAAGTCCCCATGTCCGGTTCGAGCGGCTATTAAGCGAGCGTAGACTGCCCTTGGTAGTGCTAGTTCTGGCGGTTTCTTGCGTCGCATCTCGAGTTCGAGGTCTGCATAATGTCTGGGGCGATTCGAATGCTACCAGTCTGTAACCATCTGCCTGGCCAGTTCGCGAGCTTTCCTTCCGGAAGAGGCGAGGGTTATCACCCCATGTGTCGTCCTCGTATCGTCCGACGAGTTAAGCTCTCTTCGAGCGAGCTCATCAGCCATTTCATTTCCTACCAGCCCTTCGTGTCCCGGAATCCATCCTACTTTAACAGGTGCTGCTGCTCTAGCGACCATTTTGCAGAACTTTTGAATCCTCCAGGATGATGAGCCTGTTGTTCCCGTTAGTAAGGCCTTGACAGCCGCAGAATTGTCGAGCAGAGTATAGATGGCGCTACGACCACGATCTCGCTTCCTGCTAGTGATTGCTTCAAGAGCAGCTAGAGCTCCATGAACCTCCGCGTCGTAGACCTCCGCATTGGTTATTTTGCCTGAGCCGCTTTGCTCAATTACCCTGCCTGTGCCACTGATAAAAGTCACAAAGGCCCATGACACTTTGTCGGTGGACGCCCCAGAACCATCACTGTACACGCAGAGACAGTCGGGTGGGAGTGGCGGACAGCTGGTCGGACTCTTTTGTAATTTCTAGGTGTTGTAGTGCGCGCTAGAGCGTCGGGTAGTTCTGTAGGGACTGGGCCGTCCAGTACGTGACAATAGTCACGAGCTGTAGATAGGCACGACGTTAAATTCAATCAAAATCAAATCTGGGTCAAATCTACCCTCTTAGCCTTGCAGACGCCATCGCAGGTTGAGGTTAATTACTCGTCTATTCCCGCCAATATGAAGTTATTTGTCCATAGAAATCGCTACCATAGGCAGTAGAAATTTTAATTTGTAAAACTTTGGATCACGTTTGTCTTGCAAATGGACTGCGGATGGAATATCATGCTCACCTGTCAAAAGCGACGGGGTCGGGATAAGGCTGAATCCTAATGAAATGCACAGAATGGCACTAGTTTGATCGGTAAAGAAATAAATATGATTCTGCCAATACCATGAAATAAAACTTCAAAATTACGGCTATTCCTTCTAACAAGATTTAAAGAATATGGGAACCAAGAGAAAGCGCGATTCACTCGCTCATTCCGCGTCTAATCACAAACAAAAGAAACAAGAAGCAAATGAAAGCCTGACGACCGAACCTAAGGGCCCCGAATTCTCACCATTTATCGAAAACCCAAAGGGAGATGATCTCAAGCGTGAAGTCGCCCTCTATGAGAAACTTGCTAGCGAAGATGAGTCAGAAAGGCTGGCAGCAGCGGATATAATTGTGTCAGGCCTACTGGATGGGGATGGCGTTCCACAAGCAACACTTCTTCGTCACCTCGAGCGAAGGCTATTCCGTGGTCTTGCAAGTGGAAGAAAAGGAGCTAGGCTAGGATATAGCATCGTCTTGACGGAAATTATTTCACAGCTCTATGGCAAAGAGAAATCGCTAGCGCAATCCAAGTATACCGGCTTACATTTTCAGGAGCTCTTTCGTATCCTTAAACTAAAAACAAAGCCTGAAGGAGATCTTACCGGGCAGGAACTCAAGGATCATGTATTTGGTCTACTATTTGGCCTACAATGCTTTGTCCGAGCTCGGGTGCTACTTCTTGACACAGAACGCTGGAGGACGGTTCTACTTGAGATTTTTGAACTCGCAAAGAGAAAGCCGTGGGTTCGAGAAGAATGTGGCTGGATGGTTGTAGAAGCCTTAGAGCAGATGGATAAAACGCAAGCAGAAATCACTTTGGAAATTCTCTGTGATGAGGGCCTGTCTAAATCGCCTGAAGGCGTCGGAATCTGGATTACAGCACGGAATAGGTTTCCCTCTATGCGATTCGAATCGCTTCCCAAAGTTTGGGGTCAAAGTGCTAATCCTCTTGACCATCTTCACAGACTATCTAAGGTTCTGAACGAGAGTTCGGGGCCCCAAGAAGAAGTTGATGGTGAGGAGAAATTTCGTCAAGCCAACCAGACCGGAAATTGGAACGCAAAGCTACACTTTGTGTGGCGCCTCATCCTGGACCAGTATGCAGCAGAAATACAAGCAGGGAATGAAAAATGTAAAGCTGACTTCACTAAGCTATGGATAATCACCGTTGACGGTTCGGGACACAAAAGGAACTTATCTTCAATGCTAACTTTATCACAGAAACACTTTTTGCTTCAACAGCCTCCCGAGAAAGAAAGTTTTGGGGATTTCTACTCTTTCAAGAAATTATGCAAAATTCACAAATCTTTAGTTCAACCATCTCTGCTATCTTTAGTCCAAATCTTTTACGATGTCTCATAAACCATTCTCAGGATAAAGATAGATTCCTCCACCGTGCGGCAGAAAGATCCTTGAAAGTTGCCACAAGTGCAGTTCAGCTGAACCCGAGTATTTTACCTGATGTGCTACAAAGTCTTGTTGGAATGAATGGTATTTATAGATTCGACGGCATTACAAAATCTAAGACAATTTCTCAGATGCTCGCATCTGTCACGAAAGAAAATGTTGACAGCGTTGTGGAATTGCTAGAGGATTTAGTAATTGATATTAAAGTGTATGATATAACCCATCTATCATTAAGTTTCAACTATCTAAGCAATTCTAGAGTCAATAAAGAAACTGAAACCAAAGAGGCAGAGTCTAGAAGACAAATGCTAGGCGAATATCTCCTGCAGATCATCAAGAAACCAGTTGCGGTAAAGGACACGTCGGTTAAAATGATTCGAACCAAAGCACTTGAGACTATAGCCAAATTCGCGTACTGTAATATTGAGCAGGCCAACCCGACTATCTCAGGTAAAACCCGAGAACTTTTCCGAAGTCGGCTGATGTCCTCTTTTGCATATCTTCTCACTGATCTTGAGCAATATAGTTATGCTTGTGATCTGTGGAAAAAAATTAAGCCAAGCGCTGTAGAAATGGACTCTGGCATCAAAAATGCAAAGAAGAATGCAGACTCTACATTAGGTAGAATTCTAAAAAAAATAAAAAAGGCTGATAGTGATAAGAAAACTTCACTGCAGGCTTTAGCACTCTTATATTCAGTAACCATCTTCCAGCTATACAATGGCGAGCCTGAAGCTGTGTCATGTTTAAACGAGTTAGACTTATGTTACCAGAATCTAGTTCGCAAGAAAGCTGAAATATCCGAAACGCAAACACCTGAAGTTCTTGTTGAACTTTTGCTGTCGCTTGTATCCAAACAATCATTGTTATTGCGAAAAGTTACACAATTTGTATTCGGTGCCTTTTTAACACACATAACTGAGGGTTGCTTAGAACTTATGACCAACGTACTCGCGGTCAGCGAAAGCCTGCACGGGCAGCAAGAGCTATTTGATCAAGAGGGAGATGAAGAAGGAGATGAAGATGAAGAAGATGATGACTCCCAAGAAATCCCGGACATGAAGGTAAAGCCAAGTTCTCTTGAACTGATGACTGACGAACAAAAAAATGTTGATTCGGACAACGACGAAATCTCTGATAGTGACGGGGAAGAAATCCAGAGATTGAATGCCGCGCTAGCGACAACCTTGGGTACCAATCTTGACGACTCTGAATCTGAAGATAGTGGTGATATGACTGATTCTGAGATGATGGCGTTGGATTCAAAGCTAGTCGAGATATTTTCACAGCGTCAAAGTGCACCGAAATCAAAGACAAAGAAGCTAAATCGAGAAGCTAAGGAAAATGTGACCAACTTTAAGTCGCGCGTCCTTGAACTTCTCGAAACCTTTGTGAAGAAGAAGGCGGATTGCGACCTCGCTTTTAACTTGATTTTGCCCTTACTTCGCCTTGTCCGCACTACCAAAACTCGAGCGCTTGCAGAAAAGGCGCATAGCATTTTGCATGTCTTTTCAAAGGCCTACCGCTCCTTACAAACAGTCTCCACACCAAATCCCACTGAACGCCTTGCTTTACTTGATAAAATTCATGACGAGGTGGCCACAGATCACTCGCATGCCTTTTGTAAGGCTTCAAGTACCGCTAGTCTGATAGTCGTCTCGAGTTTGTACCGGCTCGATTCTAAGTTTGTTGCAGATGTTGCAAATATTTATCGTGACACGCAGGTAAAATGGATCATGGGGCAAGCTAAAACGCAAGCAGTGTTTTTTACTGAATGGATCAACTGGTGCCAAAGTCACCTAGCTACTACCAGCGCCTCAGTTGATTAGATGTGTACATAAATACGTTGAGTCAACAAGGTTTATAAATTTTAGTATAGATCATGGATATTCTAATTCTTTGCCTGGCATCCGTTTAACCCACCAGTTCCTGTTCAATTGCTTCAGCATGAGTGCACGTCCGTAATTATACTATAACTATGAGTACTAGCAAACTAGGTCACTCTCGCACCCACATGTGAAACATAGACTAGTAGATGAGCGCTTTCCATTGAATTGCATCTGCTGCTCATTATCATTGTAACGGTTCCGGTATATAAAGCTTAGGCGTTTGTATGTCGAAAAGTAAGTTTATTTATTAACTGAAGAACAAGAGTAATTGTCGGTTGGTTATATACACGTGTATGCGTACGCAATGGGTTTCTCTCTGATGTGGTGATCCTTGTTCTATTCACTTACGGGCGTGTCTGCCATATGGGCGACACGGCGAACCGCATTAAGTCATGTGACTACTGCCTACTCACATAACAAACTCCCATACCTGCCAGGTGACCACAAACCTACTTCGGCTTTGAGGATTCCTCATTGATATTACAACAGTAATGCTATATCTAACGCCCTATATATACATGATTCCAATATTCCAAACACTAGTAGCTACCCTCCAGTCGTGCCCCCATTATTAAGGTGTGCGCTAGTTTCCAACAGCGTCTCAAACACGGGCAGTTCCCGACTTTCAATACGAGCGCAACTTAGCGCTGACACTATGAATATGTCTGTGCTGAATAGCACAGGCTATAGGGATCTTATCGGCACACTAGCCGTCACAATCATTATTATTATTATTTTTTGGGTTTGTGTTCATTATCCTGATTTGGCGCCCTATGGGCCCATGCAGGTGGCTATGAACCTATCTATATATTTACATAGGAAACCTCTCGGTGGAAACCCCCCAAGCTTTCTGACTTAATTCTTATAGTTTGCAGTTTATCCTTCAGGAAGTACAGTTACACTGTAACGCCGTCGATGTGTACCAATCACGTCCCTTCTATCGACCCCAACCTTCTACATGTTCCCTCTCGTTCCCTGAGCAGCATTTCGACTGCATTTGTCAAGCGGAATTGTTCTATCCAACCATGATTAAGAATCCATCGTGTGATTCTTGACATATCGCTAGGATTGTTGGTCATTGCTTCAAAGGAGCGATTTCGGGCTTGTCTCCAGATTTCTCCTCTACCAATTGACCACTTAGGGCAGGACATGATCATGTGCTTGGGATTTTGTGATTGGTAGCCACACGGACAGCATGGATTGTAGACTCCTGGTACTTTTCTTCTATGCAAATACGAATTGAGCCCGATATGCTCGCTTCGAATTTGGATTGCTAAGCTACTTTGGGCCCTCGTCAGGTTTTTGTGGAGAGAAAATGGCGACTCCCGGAAGCTTATTTTTGTACGTCCAGAATGGCGGCATTGGTAAAACTTTGCTGCTGCCCAAGTTTTAGGTATTATGATCATTATTATTATAACTACTTTGATTGTAAATATTTCTCTTATCAGTCTATGACTATATAGTACAATTATGTCCTACCTGCCTACGGGCCAAGGATATTTAATCTGAGAGTTGATCCTCTTTATGCCCTTCCACTACTCACTTGCAATACTACTAATTCTCATGAGTCTCCACCCGGTCACATACCTAGAGGTTCATTTTCCCTTCGATAAGATAACTAGTCATTTGATCTGTGCAGGCTTATAGACTTCTTTATATCTAGTAGATCAGTATACTACGACTTGATTTTTCTCAAGCATCGGCTCCAAAAACACCTCCTCTTCAGACGGACCTTGCAAGCAAACTGGCTAGTTTGCAGTGTCCCATTATTATTAATCCGCAGTGATGGATATAAATATAGTTGATACCCATCTGATCGTCATTTATCATGGCCCGATAGCTAACTATATCATAAACTACCTTCTCCAGACGACAAAGCTGAGATCATCTGTATGTGAATGGCAGCCGGGGAGAGTATCAAAAGCCACTGAGTTCGAGGCTCTCCCAACACCAACATCAGAACTAATTGAGAAGGCGTAGCTGCTGATCTGAAGCGTTCGAGGAGGCCGACCAGCTGGGCGCCGCAGACTTGTGAGTACCCGAGGAAATTGCTTCTCTGCCTTTCTAACCCCCATCAAATTTTTGCCCAAAGATCGTGCTGATATTTCAGAAGAGCCTCGACAGAGTGTATCTGCCGTGTAGCTGCTCAGGCCGACTTTTTGTGCCGTCTGGGGGACTTAGGTGTCAGGCAACTGGGAGCCAAAGCTGCAGCAGGTGAAGTGTTTACAATTCAAGATCACTCAGTAAATCAAGTTAATTCCTACTTCTCCCGAAATTCTAGGACTCTATACACTGATCATGATTGTTTTGATCTCTAAATATAGGCAGAGACTAGAAACACATAAGCTGCGGCTCCAAATCGGGATAGAAGCGCGGAACGAGGCAAACAACCCACGTACGTATGGACAGACCCTATTGTCACAGTAGGGAGCAAGGTGGATGGGGACCGACGATGTCTGATCTGGTGAATTAGATTGTCTACAAAGAGGAAGGAATCTGGTTCTGTGAAACTAATAATTATTTACGGACGCGTTAGCGTGCATTTAGACATGTCCATATATCATGTGACTGTTTTGCCTGAACGCCTTGTTTCCTTGACACCTATCTCTGACCCGAGACATTTCCCTGTCCAACTCCTTCGGTGGTTATTCTTAGCCTGTGATAGTGGGAGTGCCATAAACTCATTGACAAGAGATTGTTAAAGTTATGAGCTTGAGCGAAGATGGAGGTTGTAGCGGAATCAGTGTCGGTGGTTAGACCGATGCAGTTAGTCTTGTATGAGGTTGTGAGAGGAGGATCCGAGTGGAAACAATTGTATTTAGATGTATGGTTCAGAGTAAAACCGAGATGATAAGAGTGAGAATGCGTGTTTGCATATCTCATCAACTGTAGTTTTTGACCAGTATTTATCAATCTCCATGGATCGTAAGTTATGATCCCTGTAGATGTAGATCTATGTACATACACATATATGGGCCAGAAATATAAAGCTAAATACATGTGTATCGGTAATAGATACGAGAAAACTATAACCTGCATTTGAGACATAGTCATCCGCTGGAATGCTAGTGTGAAATAAACGCTAATGCGCATTAAACTTTCGGTGAAGGATGAATTGATAGCAGTGATATAGAATGGGGAATTTGATAGTCAAATTAGCCGGACTTACTAATAAGTTATTCTTGGCATTCCAAGATATGTCAAATTTCAACAGAGATGTCCAGGCTAATTAGAAGCTAATCTGTTTATGGTACCCACAAACATTCCAAAGCCGAGAACACCACGAATATGTTAGTGCTAGCATTCTCACGAGAGATTTCCTCCCTATCTCATTCTACATCGCAGTCCATTTCTAAGTCGCCTGTCCTTCCTCGAATTATATAAACCTAGTAGAGCAACAATATGTTACGGTTACGAGCTATGCGGAGGTCATATTGCGGAGAGATGAGAAGGGTTGATGTTATAATTAGTTATTGACAGTGAATAGAATCAGACAATATCATGCTGCAGGTATATAGATAGAAAGTATAAGACTAAACCTGTAACCATTTATTGTGGGTACATCTATGAAACTTTATATATGCTCGCCTTATCACTACAATAGTGATATATATATTTTTTTATTCGTTAAAGTCTTGAGCTAAAGCTCTAGGTCCACTTTGGGTAACAGACTGGTGGAGCCGACGGAGATCACTGCTTACAAGCCCAACTCATTCCAACCGCTGGACCCGCTACAGAAATAGTAGGTAGTAAATTACGACGCAGACACCACCTACTCCAACTCCTAGATCAAAAACCACTCCTTTCCCCCCTAAATCCAAATAGCTACAATCTTTCCTCAGAGAAACGACACTTCTCACCACGTTCCCTTTCGTGTCATGCATCGTGGCAATGACTAGTTTATCTGATCCCCGTTGAGAGCAGTGGATGAGTGGGCAGGTCGTTTATCAAAACAGCCGGTTTCCTGCGCAAATGTTTTGTAGCTTTCGTGGCATTTGGGCCCGAAAAGTTTTTTGATAAAGTCAACGTGGGCTATAGACTTTCTGAGCCTACGCGTATGTTGTGCGTGGTTGCTACAATGAATAAAGCGGTTTGGAGTGGTTTCCTTCCCGCAAGTGCACTCTATTGGAGCAAATAGATTGTTAAAACGGCGATGGTATGACGCAAAATTGCCGTGACCCGTTCAGACTGGAATTAGTTCGCGGAGAAGGTGTCTAGATAGTGACAGCTCGGGAGATTTGCATCTTTGCATATAAAAGTTAAGTTCGCGGTATTTAGGCGGACAAGCCTCTTCCCAACAATTTTCGAGCAATCTTTGTCGTCGGTGATTCATGAGACCACAAAGATATGCCAGAGTACATGATCCTGGTGGTGTATCCTGGCTACGTAGCTCTCGAAGAGCGACACTGGCAATAGTGTCTGCGTCATTGTTCCCTTGTATCACTGCGTGCTCTGTCTGAGGAGTCATTATTTCCCTAACTGTCAGTAAATATGCTATAGTTGTATGATGTTTATGTAATATGTGGGTCTTTTTAATTTATTAAGTGTGTTCAGCCCTACTAGCTATGAAACTGATTGACTTTCTATCAGAGGAGGGAGTGAAGACAGAGATAGATACAATCTTTTCTTATCCGCTAGTTACAACGTGAATCTTTTCCAACATTAATACTTATGCTTATTTTGCATCAGATTTTAGTTGCGCATGCAGCCAGCTACCTATGACACAATATTAGGGAAAGAGTACAAAATAGATGACTCAAGTTAGAAGTAAAGCTCTCATACTGCGGACTTTATTTGCAAGCACAACTGCGAAGTCATGGTAAAGGGTATACTCAAGCTAGATAATGATTTGATGATAGGTATGATCGTAGGAAATAGGATGTAATAGGTCTTACGTGTAGACTGGATGATGCTTTTGTCTGAAACTTTTAGAATATGATTCCTTTAGACGGGTGATACAGTAGTACTGGAAGTAGAACTGATAAAGTATAGGGTTAACAGAACGTGTATTTCGCACGGCACGCGCAGCATCAATTCATGCAGCCACTATGCTCCTACTAATGTGTCTACCAGCCTAATCTACACGCTAATAAGGGACTAATAATACAGGGTATATAAAATCTCCAAACACCTTACCCTTATACTGTCAACGGCTAAGAAAAACCACCGAAGAAGTTGGACAAAGAAATGTCTCAGGTCAAAAATAGGGACTGTCCATACATACGTGGGTTGTTCGTTTCGGTCAGTGCTTGAATTCTGTATTTAGAACTGTAGGTTATTCTATTTCTAGCGCATGTCTATATTTAGAGATCAAGAGATCAAGTCAATCATGATCAGTGTATATAGTCCTAGAATTTCGGGAGAAATAGAAATCAAGTTGTTTTTACTGAGTTATTTTTTACTTTAATTACATACACTTCGCCTATCACAGGTCAGGCTCCCAGTTACCTGACATATACTCCAAATTTAACATTTACCACAACCCTAACTCCATTATGTTGAAGGTATAAGAACGATTATGTTTCACCAAGGCTTTTGTAATTTAGCAGAAACAATCATTCTGGGAGTGGAACTCTGATATGATTGGGAGCTTTAAGGTATAGCCTCATGGGCCAACTTGATCGGTGTTGTGAAGTTTGACTGATCTTGACTGGGAGAGAATATCTCTCTCAGGTTCGTGGGGGACACTACGGACAGGTGTTCGGTCCCTTTCCACCAAAGAGGAGAGCTATTAAGTATGATGTTTAAACTTACTATACCCTAACTACTTGAGAAAGACGCTTAAGTAGTCAAAGAAACCATCATTACCCTTTAATCCCTCTTCCAACTTAAAGCCTCCACAATATAGCCAGTAGCAGTATTAGATATAACTGTAATATGAGATTAGAATACTGATTTTCTATACCAATAGAAGAAATGCTAATTCTATCTTAGTCCTGGGCTGACGGTAGCCTAAACCGCATGGCACTGCGCCATCCGACGTCGAAGACGTTTTGCCTCTGGTTGACCCAGCCCAGAATTGCGACGTTCTCTGCGCACAGAGTCAGCTTAAAATCCGGCTATTCAAGTTTACCTTCCAAGACCTAATTGTTGGCTTCCTAGTCGGCCTCGTTCATCGAATAGGCAGCCTGGTGATTTGATATTCTAATTTCGGCAGACGCGAAAACTCAAGCTACCGCCCGAGGAATACCCTGTAGCCGAATAGTCCGTGGATACGCTGTCCCTTTTTAAAGATAAGACAAATTTTATCTTTCTAATATATCTGCATAGCTATTCATATGATGCCATGCAGATCAGTCTTCAGCTATAGTTTGAGTCGCCACATGGATCATTCGTTCGGTCTATCAACAATCATGACCTCGATAAAATTGAAAAATATCTTCAACGAGGTTATTTTCCGGCAAAGATGAATTCTTTAACTTCTAGCAGCGCCGGTGTAACAGTTCAGTATACTCTGCATATCTAGGATAGCCAAGAAGAATAATTTGGGGACCGAAGTCGAAAGTAAATACAAGCATGTCTGGAATCGACGACTTATTATCAATATCGCTCCTATAATTCTCATATAAACCCTTCATCTCAATCTTACCACAAACCACCATCCCTAAATGGCCGACCAAGGAGCTGTACCAATCGTGAACGGGTGCTTGCCTCATAAATCACCGGCCATTCCCTACTACCAAATTACGACATTAAGTGTACCCACAAGGAGAAAATTAGGTTGTGAGATACTAACCTCAGGGTTTGGCTTATGAGAGACCGCTGCTTTAGTAGGGCTCTACAACCTGAGGTAGTAAGGGTAGCCGGGACGTGTAATGAGAGAAGGAAGAAGCCATCGATGGGAATGATGATATTGAAAATTTTCGACGAGTTTTGCGACTTAAGGATATTTGTGGGCCCAAAGGCTAGGATTTCGGATAGTACCACCGACACTCTAAAAACTGGCAATTATGCAATGTGTTGTAGTCCGGTTCCTGATCATCACCTACCCAAGTTAGAGTCTGGGTAGCCTGAACGCCAACCTCTCTCGAGGAATGGAGGAGTGTGAGTCTGTTTCTCGCGCGGTGGTTACATACAGAATGACAAAGGCATTTTGGGGTAGCCATGTTTTTTCCTAATTTTCCTGTTTTCCATTTGGTGGATATTCGCAGATGAGGGAGGGGTGAGAATCCTTTTCACACCGGCCCTGAGTGGCATCAGCGAATGTACCCACTACATGAACGGAAAAATCGTCAAATTGAGTTATCTTCGTAAATAGTCGTCGGTGAAGGACTAGACTTCTCTATGTTATGCTCTATGATTGCTGGGCTTGCTTTGGTTAAGAACAAAAATCCATCTTTCATAGGCGAGGCTAGCTGATGGCTTTGAATAGGGAAGGCGGTCGGTGCGATCTATCTGAAATTTTTCGATTGCGTAGACCTTCTGCCCCTTCAACTCTATGATTGATGACTAGAAGTCATGCAAACTTTAATTATTCTTCAAGTTCCTCTCACGAAAAAAATTACGAGTCTTCAACCTTAAACCTTGGTTCATAAACAGGTGAGTCAACCGAATTTTCTCTTTGATGAGCAGTCAGATGTTTACAGTCACGTGTAGTATGGATCCGCTACATCCCATAATCTGAAACCAACGACCTCTCGGACCCCAACGTACGGCAGACCAGGGGACCCTGAGCAAAATCGAGCGCCAGCAGAGACTGTAAGACAGGTCATTTGTTGTTTTAAACTCCAACCCATATAACATGGCTAGGCCACTAGAGTTTTGTCTTCTCCAACAGGTATTCTGATATAAACTACTGCAAGTATTTGCCCGTTGGCAAATTGAGTTTCCTGAGTCGTGTGAACATTGTAGCCTGGTGTTCTTGAACGTACTGATAAATCTGTGCTTGAAATCGGTGATTGCCTCGATTTCGAGGATTTCTATGGTATAAAATGGTAAAAGACTTGGTTGAAGCTTACATAGTAGATCTTTTCTCTCAAGCATTTACTGGAATGTAAAGAGTTTGGAGAAGAGTTTTCTAACAGTATGGGGGCTAGGGAAATGGCAGCAAAGTGGTTATAAGACGAGAAGAGTTGGATAGCTCACTTTTGAATGTGGGGCCTTGAAAAGAATTAATGAAGCCCTGAGTTTTCTGTAATAGCTTCCCTAAGCAAGCTTAATCGGCTAGTTTCGTCCATGATCATAAGCCAGGGATTTTCTTGAGCTACTCGCAAGAATAACTCACCGCCCATGAGATGTCACATTTTGCTCTTGAATTGATTCTACATGACAGGCAATAAAAGAAAGTTGAGCACACAGGGCTATTCTCTTAGGACATACTTTAACGCCCTCAACTCCCAAAGCATATAGGTCCCTTCCGAAAGACAAGTAAATAAAATAGAGAAGCATTAATGAGCCATTACAAAATTCGATGGAACCGTTAACTATATTCAGAACGCCCATGCCCACTTGGCGCCTTACGAATAATTCCAATACCTTGCAGGTTGCTGTTTGTAGCGAAGGAATGACGGGCCTATAGGCTTATGGAGTGAGAAAACGCGTGTCGAAGGTATCGACTCGATTTCTCTGGCCAAAAGTTTAAGCCTAGAAGCCCGTCGGTTGGTTATTCTATACCGTGCTGTTTCTTGAGCTGTTCTAAATTTTCTTTGCGCGATTCGAGATCTTCTTTTGAACGCACCACTTTGTCGGGTTGATGATATAGAACTTTATGGATCAGTAGGTGCGTGGTTGTAAGACGGAAAATGGCGAACATACCTACTAGATACCGATTTTGAAAGTTGAATCCGTTTAGTTTATCGCATGCCATTTTAGAGTCCATGACATCCTCATATACGACGAAGGCAGTCCCTTTAGTGTTGTTCGCTATTCCCTGACGGATTTGGCTGTAGAGTAGTTAGCTACAAGTTGGTATTGTCTCTTCTAGACGCACCGGATCGGGCCAAACTTTCCGAACAAGTCAAACAACTCTTCGGGAGTGACGTTGTAGCTGAATAGAAGTCAGCGTAAAAGTAGTCTTTCATTAATCTAATCAACTTGGCAAGTAGCACTACCAACCTTAAATTCTTAACGAACAAAGCTCTATGATACAGATTTCACATTAGTAAGTGCGTGAGACCCGGGAAGTGGGACATTAAAATAAAACCTACCGGTTTATCTCGGGCGCGAGTTTACCACCTCGACTCATATCTCCGACTTTGAGGATTTAGAGAGATGGTCGATGGGGGCAGGTTGATAGCGGTGATAAGAGACAAACTGTTTGGGTATGGTTATACGGGGGAACATAGATCCATTTTACGTGTTTAGCTAGCACGAGCTGCGCTAATCAAATTGAGTCAAGCGCTACACGTCACCCCAGTCCCACTAAGCGAGTAATGAAGTTGCGTGATATATGAGAGAAGCGTTTACAAGATTAAATAATGCCCGTCTTGGTAAAAATCTAGAAAGATTATTGATGACGATGATCACCTGAGAGTGCAATGAGTCGGCGCAAACTGTGGAAAATTACAGGAATAGGGAAGTGTGCAAAATGGATATCTAAAGGGCTGAAGGCTTGGTAGTCGGATATAAGAAAGAAGATTCTATAGATAAATAGTCCTGTCGCGACTCCACACAGGTGGTCCGTGATGAATTATGTTGTTCAACCCAAAATTTCACCTTTTAACTTCCTGCGGACAGCAACAGGTGACAGCTACGAAGCTGGTAATCCCAAATTGAAGAAACGAAGGATTTTTGAGACTAAGCTTTTACTGCTCTTCTTTGACTGGTCCTTTTCGTTGGAAAATAAAGGCAGAATAGACAGAGCAAAGTCTCGCTGCAATTCATTAGCCGTGATGGGAACTTAACCAGCGACAGCATTTAATGTGATGTGGAAGAAGATAGTAGATCGAGGATGCACGGATACAACCATTTGAAGACTTCGAAGGTTCGTCCAATGCGAAAGACATGCAATTGGGGTTTTCTAGAAGGACTCTGCATGCTATTCCGTCTAGGAACAAGTCAGTCGCTAACTACAGAGTGAGACTGGATTCTTGATGGTCCTGTCCGAACTCATAACATCAACCAATTTGATAGCAATAAGAATAGTTCTGACACTGACGTTAATGCTAAGGTGATGGCACTTGTGCTAGGCATCCCCCTGCCTGAAACAACACGGGACATAGATCCCGGCATTAGCGGCCCACCCAGGTAATAAGAGTTCCTAGTCTTCTCCAACCCATACAACGCCAAGTAATCTCAGTGACTTACGCCCCGGCTTTCAGGCCTCAGGCCACTGGCCACTGGCCAACAGGCGTCGTCTAAACCGCGGCAAGTCCATCTCCAAAATAGCCTCTTCCCTAACCACCCCTAAAGCTTAATTTGCTCGTGAAGGTCATTCGACTGATCATCACCAGCTGAACATCGTTGCCCTCCAACATCGATCATCCTGAACTTGTCGTAATTCTAATCCTGATGGATAGTGAACCATCATATAATCGCTATTGCTCTTTGGCAGTCATCTCGCGCGCGTAGAGTAATAGTGATGACTTATTTTTGGCATAACGTCTGAAAACTCTGCAAGACAATAGGATGACGGTCTCCGGTGCTTTCATCAAAGGTGGATATTCTGAGGAGGGCACCCCTGTAATCTCGCACCCATGTAGCTCGGCAACTCCTGCACAAAATATTCCCTTGATTGAAGTTATTTCATCCTCAACCGCCACCCTGCATCTGTCAATTGTGCTCTTCTGGAGTCCACATTGACTATCGTTCCTTCAGAGTCTAGTTTTGAAATAAATTGCTTTTGTTCGTCACTGTGTAGTATCGTCGGATTCAATAACTGTTCGATAGATTGCCATGCCTATGATTCGGCTCCGAGAGAGCCGTTTGCGCTCGTAAATAGATGTCATTCTTATTCATACGCAGCCCATGACCCGAATTAATGGTAAACCAGATTCTACACCTGAGACAAAGAGCCATGCATCGTTTTAGTCTGATGGCTTAGACCGCCTCGCGCTTGTTTGAGCTCGATTGATAATAATCTTGACAAGTGCTTCCCATCAGTCCCCGATGTGCATACGCGACGGAACGGCCCCAACCGCGTCCACCTCTTCCCAAAAGTTGGCACAGGCAAATGAACAGTGGCGCAGTCTTGCTGTTAACCATCGCCTTCATTGAAGACCTCCAGTGTGATCCACAGTCCTACATCAAGTTTCCTAAGAGCATTGAAGTTCATATTGCATAAAAGGTGACAGTTCTTGTCTAATAACGGCCATGCCGCAAGCAATCCTTCCTCTGCACTAAGACGTAAAAACGAGTTCCTGCGGCCCTGCCAAAACTCATCATCAGACCTCCAGATTAGTGTGTTCTCATCACGTGCCTACAAGGTTTCAAACTTCAGCCTCGCAGATGCAGATGGATAAGAGGACGGGCACATGACAGCACCAATGTACTATTTCAGTATCCATATTTGTGCATATCATTGCAAATATATCTATATATAGATTAGCGCATGAAGACATAGCCACACTTCAGAGGTTAACCCTCCGGCACTGACCAATAAACTCCCCCATCAAAAATTCAAGATAGTAACCCCTCTTTTGTTGCTCCTATGCCAACCTCATCACTTCTATACACAGATTTCTTCAACTCGTCTTCAGTCAACTATTCATACCCTTGAATATGAGCTCATTGAATGATACTAATTCTCGAGATGAGACTATTGTTCTCGTGACCGGCTTTGCTGTTTGTATTCCACTCCTACCATAGAATCAAACTTCATGGAATTTCCCACATTTGAACCTATACTTCCGAATTAGGCATGAAGCTTATATTACCCGTTGCACACAGCCTTTCCGGGTCTCTAACCCCATCAATCCGGCGTGGGAGATTACCCGTAATCTGCCGTGCAACTACCCTTTATATGGCGCCCAAGAAACATCCGACCATTCGTCCAGCACTCAATCTATAATTCAGATAAAGGCCTATCCAGAGCCAGTCAAAGTTGCATATAAAAATGTTCGCGATATCGTGCCTAGATTATGGGATGACGAAAAGATCGATTTTGTCATTCACATCGGTGTTGCGGAAGAGCGAGACTACTACAGTATAGAACGGCGCGCTTATCGTGACGGACATATAATGCCAGATGTAGACGGAATGTTGTGTGCAGACTTAACGGAACGACATATAAAAGGTGTCAAGTGGATATGGCACGATATGCCCGATGAAATTCTATCAGATGTGCACATTGATGATGTTTGCGCTAAGTGGAAAGAATCCTTGCCTGTGACTCTCCAATTATTCATTTATTATATTTGTCTTTGCGTTACAGTGAAGCGGTAGCTGACCTCTTCTTAATAGACCATTGATGTTCGAGTCTCAGAAGATGCGGGCCGGTATTTATGCAATTTTATTTACTACTCCAGCCTAGCACAGCTTACGAAGAATAAAAAGCCAAAGAAAGTCGTATTCCTGCATGTCCCAAATAAGATTGATACTGCGTCTATCGAGATTGGTGTTACAGTCACCACTCAGCTGATTCGGGCCATAGCACAAATGGAAACTGATAATAAACCAAACCCAACCACTTAGAATTCTGTCATAACTAGGGTACTGCCGACATTTCAAATCATTGAGTAAATTTGAGACCAAAAATGGCACCATATAGAAGAGTTAACAAAGTGGTCTCAAATAAATAAAACCAACCATCATCTATTAGAGAACAGGATCTTCCTCCATTGATCGAGTGGTACTTTAGTCGAGTGAGACATTTCAGGAAACTTGGGTACCTGTCCTGTTGCAGGTTAAGATGAGTTATGGGTATTAATGGCTAAATAGATTAATGAGTTTCTTTTTTCTCTACTGTTGGATTCTCCCTACATACACTTATGATCATGGACATTATTTCTATGTCACTAAATTAATACAAGCGTTAGGGATAAGCAACCTGCGGTTCTAAATAAAGATAACTAGCACTGACCAGAACAAATAAACCATCAAGGTGTGAACAGTATCTGTTTTAGCTATTGGCATTTTCCCGTTCAACTTCTTCGGTGGTAATTCTTAGCCTTCAACAAGACATATTCCATTTATAGTAGGAGCAACCGGTGTGTATTGGTGTTTAGGTTTGTAGGCTCCCCATTGTTTCTGCCTCCTGAATCACAAACTGTTGTATTATCCATGTTGCTTGCCATGGTAGATGCTTGGGCTCAGGTCAAAGTAACGGCACGTGACTATGGAACTAAACTGTGGAGTATTTAGAGTGAAATGCATGTGTGGATATTATGAACCCAAATAGAGCACGATAGAATGGAGATGATTGAATCAGACAGAGACTGATGGAGTCAGGGAGAACGAGATAGTCGAGGCTAGGGTATCGCGTGTGGCTAAAGGCCACAGTAGATATCACTAGTTGCCGCATATCATCGCCGCTTCAACCATACTGACGCCACAATTCACTGCGAGTGCGGAAGGTAAAAATCAATCGGTCACTTTTTCCAATGATGAAAAGAACTGGCAACATGGCAGCTGAAAAGCGCAAAGAGAAGGGCGCTATCTCTAGGAACAATGTTCGGGTCAAGTGGATGGCAGCTGTTCAGGGACTACGTCCAGGAGAGCGGAATATACGCGGAAGCTAGTCGGGGTATGGCAGGGATGCCTGTCACTCGGAGGTCGTGGATCGAAAGCCTAGATGGTTTGGCATGGAAAGAGGGATTGAAATCGAGGCTTGGGCGCGTGGTAGCTGAGGCGGAACGATGGAAGGGAGTTTGTTGTAGTTTTCCTTTGTAGTGCTGGATTTCGCGTGGAGGTTTTCGTTTGTTTTCATTCTGGGCTGCTGGACTCGTCATGATTCAGCACACAGATGCGTTTTGGCATAGTTCCGGTCATTTAACTGAGACGAGCCACTTGTACTTTACTGCGGTTAACCTGATCCGGCCCGACCCCACTCGTGCTCAAGCTCCAGTAGGAGTGCAACGGGAGGTACTACCCAGCACGTTAATGAACAAACATGTTGAGAAATAAGTCTAATGCATTGCAATTCCAGGATCCTCATGACCCTTATTATGGGTCTGAGTTGTCATCGTTAGCCAGGAGTTAGGAGAACCGGAGAGCAAGATACCCTGTACAATTAGCTTGTTTATCACGTGGTTATTGGGTTGTTTTGTTAGCGTGCACGGACCCTCACTCAAGATGTAAATCTCGAGTGTTGGATCCGCTTTTATGGATAATGATTTTATACCTCCAACGAGTTGATCTCATAGACAAGTCTACCTTCCATATTTTATATTAGAACTCCTTAAAGTGATCATTACACAATACAAGGACTAAGTTTTTAATAAAACAAAACACAATTCGAGAAGCCCCTATACTGCCTATTTCCACCCTTCTATCTGTCTCATCCAGTGACGTATAACTCGAATTGTAATTGTTTGCCATTGGCAGCATTCAAAATGCCTCGGATGCGTAGAACGCCCAAACACGCGATCAGCGGAATCTACAAAGGTCGCGTCAATAAACCTTACAAAGTGCATGATTCCATACGAACCATTGCAAAGAAAAAAAGTATCGGAGAAAAGAGTAGAGGCCTCCGATCAAAATTTAAACCCCATCGAAGCTGCGCTCATAGCTAAGGTTGGCAATGTCCCCGAGGTAGAGATGTTGGACGCCGAAGTTCAGAAGTTAAATTCTCTCAGATTCAAAATGGACTTCCTCCGTTTCAGAAGACGCGAGAAAATACCTAGAGCCCGCAGAAACCTCAGAAAAAACCGTCGCCGCACCGGAAAAGCGTACCACGGTTCCAGCACAACCGCGATCTGAGGGGGACTATTCTCAACACCTGTCAGTGGTGTCCCCTACAAACCCCCAACTCTCACTGTAGGGTATACAGAGCCGAGATTGAGTAACAAAGTCCTCACTTCGATGAGGATTCCCAATCGCTTTCGCGGTCTGTGTCGTCTTCATCTCTCAACACATTCCCCTATCACCATTATCATGAAGCTAACCACGATCAGATAAGATGGTAGGTTCGGGGCCCTACCATCACCAAACCTTGATCACGGAGGAAAAGCCATCCGATGAGATTCCGGAGCGTACCCAGCACCCGATACGGAGATGGTGGATTGGATCAAGTCGGCCTCGACTGTCACAAAGAAGGGAGATATAGATGAATATGCGCACCTCATGTGGTCCCAAGGTCAGGCCTCGCCTGGCTGGGGCTGCAGGATTTTTGAGACTTTTTCCCGCGCACGCAGTTTCCATTGCTACCATTTTTATTTTTTTTGGGTAGAAGGTTCCGTGGAAAAGGTGGCCGAATTCCACGGGTAAACACTGAGCTGAATGGCTATTCATCAAGGGGAATATATCAATGATCTTTCAAATAACAAAAGAGGGTAGGAGCATTGTACAAGGTGTGGCCTGGGTCAGAGAGGAGCCCAATGTGCTAGATAGTCTATAACTCAAGTAGTACAATAATCACACAATCACACAATCACAATCGCGACCTGAAGAAGTGAGGCCTACAAAAGGGTCTGACATATCAGCGAACAAGGCATCAGGAGCCGAAAACTTGTCGCAGATACAACCGCCTCCAGCACTAGGAGTCGCTTGTGGCAAAAATACGCACACCCTGGAATTGCGTGCAGCGATCGAAGCGGAGGAGCGCCGGGCAATTCACAATCTGCTCGACTGCTATTAGTAGCGTCAAAACAGCCCTTTTACCTCTCTCTACCGCTCTCTACCGTTGAAATTCAAGATTTTATAGACTCCATAAAGGCTACATACGTGCAGCAATCGCGAAATTCGTAACGGCCGAGCCGGGCCGAGCATCGCCCCGCCAGCGACCGAAGGTCGAGACTCTACCTGCCACCGTCATCCTAGTGACCATACCCCGAAACATTTCAAGGGCTACCACATCTCTCCCGTCTAGAAGCACCTGGGCCACTAACACCCGAGCAGGTCACCAAATGTCAGGCCCTAAGATTACTGAGAATATCTCCTCCGTCGCGACTGCTCCGACAGCCAGAACGCCAGAGAAGGCAGCAATATCGACATAGCAAGATAACCGACTCTTCCTACGTCTCGATTGAAAACACGAGTGGAGACAAATCTATCCAGATGCCATTCGTGTAGCAGTCGCGAGATAGACACAATGCGCTCCTGCCGATGCCGACCAAGTGCGACGCCTTCTCACGGGCTTTGCCATTCGTGCCAAAAACCAGGATGCAAAAACTCGACTGCTAGAGGCCTCTAGCTCCTTCGCAATAGTGGAGTAAAACTAGAACCACCAAGCGATCTAATTTGCGTCCGGATCGCTACGGTTGCAGTTGCAGTCTACAGCTTAGAAGGGCGAATAGAAATTACTGCCTAAATGGTGGCTGCAGAGATCCTCAGAGCTACTAACTTCACTCAGAATCGAGTAAGGATTCAAGGAAAGACCAAGCTCAGGCCCCCCTACAGATCGTGGATAGCTCTGTTTCTCAAGGACGCTAGCTCAAAGCCTGGTTTCAGGCTTTTTGACGACTCGGAAGTAGCCACAATACAATAAAGCCGACCTCCTATATAGCAATGAAGGCAATGCCTTGAATTCCACGCTACACGTGGATGTTCTCGCGCACCAGCCTGTTAGAACTGTAGATCCACCATGCACTTGGCATTCAAGTGTAAAGCAGCATCTAAATGTTGAAATTGCGGAGGGCCTCACCAACTTGGCAGTCGAGACTGCTTGGCGCGTCCCAATAGATCTGGCCCAGCTACCAAGGAGCAATTTGTGACGATTCGAGAAGCTGTCCAACGTGAATATGAGGCCGTTGCTAGGGCCAAAACGGCTACCAAGGCCGTAGAGGCAGCAGCTGCTACCGCAAAAACGATACGACCAACCTCATCTGCTGCTACTAAGGACACCTCCTCTATAGACACAGCAATGACCGAAGATTCGGGCTTTGGGGCTTAAAACCCTGAAGAAGCTTTGTGAATGGTGTCCTATGGGCACCTTCTCGTCCCCTCCTACCCTAAGTTTGATGTCAATCAATGTAGGTAGGGGAGGCCCAACTTGCAACATTGCGCTCTTTCCAGCTTATGAGCTAGGCGTTGATGATGTGTTAGTTCAAGAACCCCGATGGAACGAACGAACAAAGGAAACCGTGTAACACCTAGGTTATATCTCTCATATACCGTACGGAGGTGTGGATGTTAGACGGTGGGCGGTGACTTACACTCGAAACAACGAAAAGATGATATCGGCGAAGCAGCCTTTCCCTTATCATATTTCGACTGAGGACTACTGCTGTGTACTAGCTAATAGGATCACATCTCTCAATTTGTACAAGGTCCCGAACGATTCGACTGCCGTCATACCGCTTGTCAAATAGGAACCGTCTGCAAAGTCTATCGCCAGCGGTGATTTCAACTCAGTGCATGCTGCCTAGCAACCAGGAGCAACTCAGCCGTATGGATAGGGAGATGAGATTGAGAGGTGGGTGGAAAGCCACAATCTCTCCTGTCTCATAATTGGAGAATCAACTCACAAAGCCGGCAGTACTTTGGACCTCGCATGGACCAACATACCTAGAGCCTGTGCCTGGGTCGATTGGGAA